TCCTCTGAGTGGGCCAAAAGCCTACTGCATGGTGTCAATGTACAACTCAATAACAGAGTTCTCAGTTCTCATGTACTAAAGCAACATGTGATCACAAATTGCAGATAATCTCGCTTGATGCGAGGATAAAACTGTAAGGAACGATAAACTATATTTTCTCCAATACTATGTTCCTCACCTGCACTTTGTATATAGCTTGAGAAGTTGGTAACTCAAAGTTGTAGTACATGGTCAAAGTTCTCCAAGTCATTTTCATTCCTGTCTCTAGTCTCTGATCCTGATCCATTCTCCTTCCCAGTCTTGTTTCTGCATTTGAATATATTCTTTCTCTAGTTCATTATTAAGTGTCACACCTGCACAGTGGGGAAACATAAACACATTATTCTACTTCCCAAATATAGCCAGCCAAGGATCTTCACATCCACATTGCAACTCTTCATGGATTTTTTATTTATGTTCTCTTTCTTTCTCTTCATTGTAGCCATATATAATATATGAATTTATTTACATAACGTAATGCCTATATACAGGTATATTTATCTGATAACTAAAATAATATCACCTTATTATGTCATCTTTAAATTAACATGCTGAGTTATTAAACATTTTAATGGATTATAGGTCTTGGATATATTTTGGTATCGAAATACAAAAACACATATCCAAGATATATATTTTTGTATTTTTCTATAAAATTTTTACTTTAATTTATTTGGTACAAAATGCAAAAAGCAAATGCTTGCTTTGAGCTCTAGTTGTATATACCCAATTACCTACTTGACATTTCTACTCGGATATCTGAAAGCCTCCTTAAATTCTTCCCATTATCTTTCTTCCAAATCTTTTTCTCTGCAATGTTCCTTAATTCAATAAGTAGTAAAATCATCCAGCTAGTTGTTCAAATAGCTCCCAAATCTATTACCTTTTTCTGACTTAACTACTTCTTCTTTAGTATAAGAAACCCTCATTCTTTACTGGAGAACTCCAGTAGCCTCCTCATTGGTCTCCCATATCTAAACTTAACTCATCTTAATGCGTTCATGTTGCAACACAGAACAATGTTTCAAAACATGCATGGAAAACATGTTTCCTGCACCACTATACTTAGAATCCTACAATGTCTTCTTGATGTTCTTATGCAAAGGATATTCTTAATCCAGAACTACTTCAACCATAACATGATGCAATGGCCTAATCTCTGTTCCCACCTCTCAGATCCTCTTTCAAGTTCACAGCTGTATGATACTATCTTTTGCCACAGCCTTTGAACATACCATTTTCATTCTGCCTCTGATCCCCTCGTTCAATTTCTTATTAGCCAGATATACTCCTCTTTTGGATAACAGTTCAAATGTCACTTTCACAGAGAAGACTTCTGCAGACTCTCCAATTTAAATGGCCTTTTACAGGTTCTCTGAACATGTGAGTCATGACATTTTTTTATAGATTAAATTTCAAATTTAATTTGAATAAATTAATAACTTTCTCTAACAGACTGAACACAAGAGAGGCAGAGTCAATTCTGTTCTTGGTCCTCTTTGTATATGTATCCCTGTTATAATAACTTGAATATTGTAAAACACACAGATTGTTACATAAATTAGTTATAAAAATAATAAAATAAATGAAAATTAAGGCAATGAGATCACTTTTATCTATTAAAATTGTCAGAGAACATCCAGTGATGAGGTCATTTTTACACATTTATAAAATATACTCTTTTAGTTGTATTTGGACACAACACCTTTATTTTATTTGTTTACTTACTTTTTTTATGTGGTGCTGGTTATGGAACCCAGCGCTTCACACGTGCTAGGCGAGCACTCTACCACTGAGCCACAATCCCAGCCCTGAAACTACAATTTTTTTAAGCTTTGAAATTATCAATTATTATTTCATATACTTTAACCTAACAGTTAAGTATAAATTGACAAAACCATTTCAGGATACAATTTGACAATACCTATAACATTCCACTCTATTATTTAAATCTTTTTATGTCATTCTGCTCTTAAGAATTACTTCTAAATAGTAATCATAGATTACTATAGTAATTACCATAGTAATCATAAATTCATGTTCAAGGATATTATTTTCAGACCAAAATCCAAGTAATTGAAAAAAGTCAAAATCTCAACAAAAGAAAATGATAAAATAAATGACAGAACATCTAAAAAGGAAATTCTACATAGATATTAAAAAGAAAACCACAGGTTTAAATATAACTCTGAACTTCTCAAGCCTCCAGGTCCACGAATATAAATGTGATAAAATCGGCATGAATATCCAGACATTTTCTAGCTATGGTCTCCCAGTTATTTCAGAGTCCCTAGCAGTGGGGAGGCTGTGTGTCTGACACTGGTTCTTCCTTCAGGAGTTCTCATTAGCACTTCTCCCTAAATGTCAACATTTTGATAAAAAGCATGACTGTTTCTTGGAGCAGTAATCATGTTCTATTTTTGGATTGCTGGTTTTGGTATGCTGCATCTGATTTAGCAAAATTCACAAATTATAACCTTCGTCCTCTGCCTGAACTTTTTGTGAGTTTAAAAGAATGACTCCCTAATTTTTTGCTAATTGTATTCTGATTTTTTACTAACCAGAATTTCTTCAACTTCTATTTTCACTTTCTTTCCTTGGGATTATCTCTAAATTATATGTCAGTAACATTAAAGCATAATAAAATGGCAAACATACTGTTTAAGCATTTACAATATAAATGTTAGAGTTAATAACTTTAACTTATAACAAGTTCCTGAAAGTCAATAAGAAAATATTAATGTAAAAATGTAAGAAACGGCAATTTTAGAAGAACACAATTGTTACCTAAATAGATGAAATATAGTCATTGTTACCATAATCAAATGAATTCACATTTGCCTAAAAATAAACTGCTAAATTTTTAAAACTACCATATTTGATATTGATATATTGAT